GAAAGATGAGGCTGTCGGCTTCCATAAGATGACAGACAGCCTTGGAAACCCTGTGCGGGCAGGTCTACCCTGTCTGACGGGTGGCTGTGGTCTGATTGGACTTGAGGGCAGTGGGATTGGTGTTCAGGATTCATGTCGGATCTTATCGCCAGTCAAGGCCGCCTTGCTCCTTACACTGAGAGGACAAAGAAATATGCACACACGGGCGCACGCATATGTGCGCGCGCGCACACACGAACATTTGGAGGGGTCTTCAAAAAGTCCGTGGAAGAATGTCATTGCCTTCAAATCTCATTCTTCCACAAACTTTTTAGAGGTTCGTATGGACACACATTAGTGGGCGGCCCTGTCTCAGGTCCGTGCTGGCTGATGACGCATGGAAGATGCATTTCCCTGTCACCGGGGGCAGAAAGTCTAGGGAGGGGGCAATCCTGTGACAGGTAACACAGATGCCCTGTGGGGGTACAGGGAGTGCAGGGCTGCCTGGTAGGAAGGTCTGAAGGTGAGGTCCCTCTTCTCTCTGGCTGCAGCACCCAGGCTGAGACTTACAGTGGCTGGTTTGCAAACACTCCTGGTATTCAGCCGAGCCGCCTGGTGGACCCACCCACCTACCCCACCTACTTGCCCAACCTCAAGAGGCTACCGAGGGGCCCTCTAGACACATTGGCCCCTCACACTTCCTCCCAACCTCCAGAGACCTCAATGAGGATCCCTCTAGACTCACCCCCCACCACTTGCCACGACTTCCAGAGGGTCCCTCCAGATGAACTGCCCTCCCCCCAAACTGCCTTGAACTCCCAGAGGTTTACCCAAGGGTCCCCCCAGATGGGGCACTCTTCAGAAAGGAGCTCTGATCAAACAAGCCTCTCCCGCCCTATCCCAGGACCACCGGGGCAGCCTCCATCCCCCATCTCTAACCACAGAGCCGGGCCAACACGGCAACCCCACGTGAGCGGACAACTGCCCAGAGGGATTTCCAGCCTGTGGTCACCATGGGAACAGACCGCCAGCTCTTTCTTCCGTGGGGCTGCTGGGAGGGTTTGAATTGGCAACAGAGGACCTCAGCACTTTGCCATGAGGGCTCCTATGGAGGACGGGCCAGTGGCCCCTGAGCCACTGCTCTTGGGAATCCCACCTGGAGGCAGGCGGCTGCGGGCACTCCCCGAAGAACTACTCCCCCTGCAACGCGTGGTGACAGTACCTGCCTTCACACGAAGTCATGGCAGCGACCCAGGGGGTGACAAGCTTCATGTCAACCCCCTGTCATTAACCACCCCCAGGACTGCTGGGGGATTCAGGGAAGCAGTCCTTTATCCTCAAACAGGGCAGTCACGGGATGGCCAGACAGCACCCACACGCCGAGGGCCCCCGTGCTTGTCCGAGTCACAGCAGGCCAGCAGGGGTGTAAACACCCAGACACATATTCCCCAAGAAGCAAGGGGAGCCCGGGCTTGCTTGTGCTGACTTACGCGTCTGGAGTGAACAATTCCACACGCCGCTGTGTGTCAAAGGATGTGGTCAGACCCACGTGGAATTGTTCGCCCCAGATGAGGAGGTCAGCACAAGCAAGCCCGGGCTCCCCTTGCTTCTTGGGGAAGCTGAAGCTTTGGACCGGGAGGCAGGAGGAGACTTGTTCTGAGTAAGGGCCACTCCCTGCCACCCAGTCAATTGCAACTCATAATGACACTGTAGATGCCCTGGTGGTGTAGTGGTTACACGTTGGGCTGCTAACCACAGGGTCAGAAGTTCAAAACCACCCAGGTTTCCAAAGACAAGGCTTTCTACTCCTGTAAAAGATTACAGTCTTGGAAACCCACCGGGG